CATGAATAACGCTGATGCCAAATCTTATTTAGCAAGAACGATATTCTATACTAAATTGTTAGAAATTAATTAAACTATCATTCACTTTTCAAAACTTAGAGAGTAAAAATGTAGATTTATGGTATGTTATTGTTGTGCGGCTCTTAGCATGACTGAAATGCTCAACAATTACTTTTCGCGGTGGATGGTATAAGTAGCTCAGAGCTTTGGCTCTTAGTGAAACCGAGAATGCAATTCCTTTTTAAAGTCCATGAAATAATTGAAATTGATAGATTAACTTAAGCTTGTTACATAACTGGGGTCGGATACTTTCTCTAGATTAACTTAATCTTTTCCTGTCACTGGGGACGGGTAATTTTCCTTGTATATATATATAGCTCTCTCTTCTTGTTTGAATGCAACATATTTTCTTACATAAAAAAGAACACCAGCTTAGAAGAGTTAAAGGCGCCAATGTACGTATACATACACACACATATTTATAGTAATATTATACAACTATAAAAGCAGAGATTTTTTATAATTGAAACATCAAGTTATGCTCAATTTTCAAAATGAAGAAATTCAGAATACAAGATGAAATTTAAATCTTGAAACTGTTTGGTCTCAAATGTGCAATTTGACATACGATTGACAGAAAACCGATCCTAATCATTTTACAGGTAATCAAAACTTTATAATTTCCGCCTTCTGTGACGGGAAAATGATTTGGCCCAATACAAGCTATGTGCTTTCATGTATCTAAGAAAATCAAGAAAGTTTCTTTTGTAATAAAATCTGGCCTACATTATTAGCGTTTAGATGTTCAAAAGTTATAAATACTTTAGGGCAATGGAGGGCAACATAAACTAACCTGCAGGTCACAAGTGCCTTCAAACACCCATAAAGACCACAAGACTCCTTTATCATTCATAAGCCAAAAAATAATAGAAAAAATATTTTCAGGTACATGGAGGCTTCCGGTTAACCCATACATGCAACCCATTAGCAATGGATTGCCCACTACTGATTTAGGGATAAGCTACAATAAATCGATACTAGATTGTCATAGATGCACAAAACATGATAGATATAAGTACAGTTAAAAGAGCCACTGTTATGATAATTGTAGAAGCTGTTATTCTGATATTCACAGGTAAATCTTTAACCTGCAAATATTAAGTTCGGATTAAAAAAACGAACTGTGGAAGAATAGAAGTAACTCAGACAGCAAGAAAAGTCAAACTGACAGAAGTATACACCAAATAATAAAATAAAAATCATCAACACAAAATGCGTTGGTGTATTTACTTCAACACCTATTATTTCATAGTACACTGGCTGGCCAGCAAAGTTCCCTAGTTACTGGAGAAGAAGAAAAGGACTAATTTACTTGACGAAGACAGATAAGACATTTGTTAATAACAAATCAAAGTTCTGGTGCAGTATCCCACGATCTTAGCTTAACTACGTCCAAAATCATTATCTCATATTCAATGGGAGATTAATTTTCGGCTCACAACTACCTCAAAATAGACCTCTGCACCACTCTTTCATTGGGGTATGTGTCACACCTCAGGGAAGGATACATACAGACGCATTCCCAGTCGAGTAGAAGCTCTTTTGGAAGACCACTGTGGTATGTAGCCGTGTTGGCTATGTAGTTGACGACTACCTACATTCTTTTGCACAAGAGCGTTTACTAATTACAGAGTACTTACAGGAAAAAGTTGAAAGATTTTCCTGAATACATCCGAATAAAGGCGTATTTATATTTTAGTTATGGAAAATAAAACCTAGCAGTTTTCAACTGATACACAACATTTAGATAGATTAATTTAAAATATATATTTGAGCTATAAATATTTAATCAAATTCCTATTTCTTTTTATAATGAAAAATAACAAACTCCTCTTACTACTACATTTATTCCTAGTTTCGAATATGCAGTTGCAGCCTAGGTATAGCTATAGAGTATAGACTATTGTTCGTGAAGAGCCTATAAGAATATTCGTATACACCTCCGACTTTTAAATTTTAATACAGACGTCAGCACTATCGTTAGCTTAATAACAGAGCTATTTCACATGTTGTCGTGGTGTAGGCCTATTTGAATTTGGAAAGCTTGTCGAATCCAGAGAATAATTTGGAAATTGTGTAAGTGTATTAAATTTAAATACACATTTGGTGCATAATAAAATGAGTCTTAAGTAAATTTTAAAAACTAAGCCTGTGAATTTGAAATATTTGTACTGTGTGGTCGATTTTCGGAGTTGAGAATAACTAAGAAGACTTAAAACCTATAAAAGTTAAATTACAAACTAAAACTTATTTGTATTTGTATAGTAATTAGTAATAATAGTATTAGTATTACTATTAATTATACTAATAATATTAGTACTGTCGTTCTGACTCAAATTCTGTCACTATACCACTTTAATGGACTGCAACTGCTGTTGAAAGAAAAGATGACATTTTAGCTTTTATACTGAGGCTTTCTTTAGACCCATTTCCAAAAGTCAATTTCTCTATTAGAATAGTAAAGCTGTATAAGCTGAAGATAATTTTAAAATCTATATTTATGTCCCCTTGCCCTTCCATTCTCACCATTTAATATGAAAAAAAGATACATTGATATTATCAATTCCCCTAATAATCTTGAACACTTGCATCAACCCCCCCCCCCCCTTGTAATGATCTTAAACACAAACAGCCACTAAAACTAGGGTTAAAACAAAAAAATAAATTTATTGAACTTTGATGACCACAGAAATCCAAAATGAAGCTTTCAGCCAATTGGAATACAAAGTTTATAATCTACCAAAACGCAATTTATAGATATGTGCTGGCAGGACTTGATACTGATGTTAATGAACAAAACAACCTAAATACCAATAAATAAAGCAATCAGGAAAAAGAACCAGACAAAGAAAAAACCAGATTCCAAGATAATATTCTATGTTCAAACAGCTACAAGATCAACAACAATAATACTTTTCAGTTTTATCTTGTGAACTAACTCATTGTAGCTCATGGCAGGGCTTTAATTTAGTTGTTAGACCACAAGATTACATCTCGTGCGACCATGAATTTACGTAATTTTCACAACATCAATAATATCTGTTTGTCACCAATAGGGGAAGCTGGTGTCAGTTTCATAATGCATAGATACATACATGCATATTCAGTCAACGCGATCTTCTAGAAGATGAGTTAGTGCTTTAACTAAAAATTTAGAGCTAAACTAAACAATAGAAGGAATAATAAATGAACAGTAAACAAAACCATAACAAACTAAAAATTGAATTCACTATATCCCACCCTAAATCTTCTTCTTTCAAGAGAAAATTTTAACCAGTTCTCATATGAAAACCTTTCCATCCTAGGTATCATCCTAATAGCCCTCATTTTAACACTTGACAATTAAATGTACTTTTTAAGGTACGAAGCTCAAGACATTCTTCAAATGGGGCCTAACCAGTGAGCTACACAATGAAATGAAATGATAACCTTTTTAAACTTGTATTTCTGTAACTATAACCCAAAATCCTATTTGTCTCACTACTGGTTATATATTAAATGGCTTAAGATTTATCAACCAAAAAACCAAGATCCTTTTCCTCCATAACACTGTTAAGACTATACCTATCAAAATGACACTATAATTTAAGTTATGATAACCCATATGTATTATCTTGCATATATTATAGTTAAAAAAACCATCTGCCAGTTATTTTTCCCACTCACTAAATGATAACAATACTCAAGATCTTAATATCATCAGCAAATATAAGCAGTTTATTGACCATTTCTTTATCTATGTCACTGATGTAAATAGAAAAGGTCCCAAGACCCAACAATAAGCTGTAAGATACCAAACTTGTGACATTAATCCAGACTGAAGCACATTTATAGTAACCCTCTGCTTTCTTCCCTACAGTTAATTATTTGAGCCAACTTATCTTGCAGAGAAAATTTTTTAACAAGCCTTTTATGTAACACCTTGTCAACTGCTTTCTGAAAATCCAGATATACCAGATTCACATCTTATCTTCATCTATGTAAGCAGTAACTTCTGCAAAGAATTTCAAAATATTAGTAAGGCAAGATTTTCTCTTTGTGAAACATGTTGACTATCCAACAAAAATTTAAACCTTTGTCAAATGATTTTGCAAAGCATATTTGATCTGACTATCAAAACATTTTCCCACCACCAACATAAGACTAACAGGCCTATAATTACATGTACAATTTTAATTGCCTCTCTTAAAAGGAGGAGTAACTTTAGCCCACTACTCAAGGACTTGCAAAAAATGTTAGCAAGTGGGTCAAATATCCAATCCTTAACTCCCGTTCAAAACCCTTGAGGAAATATCTAGTTCTGGAACTTTGACATTCTTTAAACTTCCCAATTTTTTTCTCAAGCACAAAATTAAAGTTATAATCTTGTTCATTAATCATGTTTCCCTTTAGCATTTATTGAGGATGAAGAATACTGCTTAAATCATTAGTAAAAACTAGATAGAAAATAGAATTTAGTTACCCAGCCATGTTATAAGCATCAGAAATATACCTTTCATTATCATCTTTCAAATGACTTGCTCCCATTCGAATATTTAAATAAAAGTTACATTTGACCAACTGATCCCAGTTCACACCATAACAGTTGCTGTTCATGCAGTTTAATAATATGAATAATGTCTCAACAGTTACTATGTCTATTGCATCCCATTTACATGATAAGCCCTGGTACTAGTTATAGAAGATGTAGTGTGGTTGACATACTGATATACATTATTTTTGTTTTCACTCACAAGTTCCTAATATTTTGCTTAACCTTAATGTATTTAAAGACATTTTAACATTTTCTGATAACATTTTTCATGGTCACTTTTTGATCACCTTGTGTCCTGTTTGATTGACTCTCTTGATCAGTTATAATTGTTGTAGCAGTGAACTTGTAATGTTTTGTTTAATTTTATATCCTATCCTTTTTTTTTCTATTAGCAATACCAAAAGCTTTAATAACATTAGGAAATTTAAGCAACTTATTGACCATTGCTTCATCTATTTCATTGATGTAAATCTAACTGTGCAAAGGTCCTAACACTTAACCCTGAGGTATCCCATTTGTTTGCTGAAATGCTTTCTAAAAATACAAGTATACAACAAATCCACATCCATATCCTCATCTGCATAAGCAGTAATCTTTTCATTGTTAAGGTTAAGGTAAGAAAACTATTCTCAGTGTCACTTATTAAAAGCCTACTTTCCAAATACATATCTAAATTACTTTTGACAACATATTCCAACAGACTTTTAAAAACAAGTCAAAATTAATTTGCCTATATTTTTTAAAATATCCCTAGATTCTTTGAAAAAGTAGGATCACACAAATAATCTTCCAATTATGAAGAATTAATTTTCCCAATGTGAAAAACATCTAAAAAAAAGGAGTTAAGTCCCTGTTAACTTTCTGCTAAGTTTCTTCAAGATGTTAGGATAAATCTTATTAGAGCCTGAAGCTTTATTCTCAAAAATTGTATCTCTGGTTTTTCTAGAACTGCTACTTCTATGTAATTAGAATTCAAATATGTATCCTTCCACCCTTAAAGAAATTGGATTGATTGTTAATCTTCACCTTTTTTTTTACTAAGAATACTAGAACGAAAATTTTATCACTTTAGCTATGTTTCTTCTGTAAAATTGCTCCCATCAAAATCTCTTAAGGGACCAATATAATGCTTGTCTATTTTGATTAAGAAGTCAGCACACAGGATCGCATGCAAAAGCTGTGATGGTTTTTCAAACAAGACCCAAAACTCGAGTGCTTTCTAATGGTTCACTATTCTCCTTCTGGAGAATAAAGGGTTGTGCAAATATTCAGTCCTAGAAATTAGCAGTGTATGTGGCATTTTATGATAAACATCAAGTACAATGGATAAAAAAAAAGACAAGATGGCATAATAAAAAAAACTCGTAACTTTTCCCTTTAATTTAATATATATATAAACTCCCTCTTGACATTTTTTCAAATACTAATGTTAGTTTGTTTAATTAATTTTGCAATGTACATGTATGTTGCTCAATGAAAAGCCAAGCAAAAAAGCAGGTAAGTAACATTACAAGTCTAGTTTCCATTTCTAAGTTGTAATGTGTATTTTGATATTTGTGCAGACCACTGAAGATATTTATAATTATCTGTTTAGTAGCTTTTACACTGTATTAGTTTATTTAATAAACATTTGTTTCAATCAGGATATGATTCAAGACCAAAACTAACATGCACTTTGTCAAAACCATATGTAGTGTGAGCAAGTTGAGTTTTGGATTTTAGTGTGTTTGAGTAATGGAGGTGTCATTGAAGTTTATTATTTAAATCTCAAATAGTTTGACATATTTTTGATACTTGTTCATACAAAGCAAACAAAAAAAGTAAGTTCAATTTTGAATTATTCAAAAAATAAAGAATATCAAACTTTGAAAACAAACTTATTAGTAGTCTTGTACTGTATTTTGCTATCATTGAACAACATTTTTATTTTTTATTCTTACTGTTATTGTTTGATTTTTACTTTTTATGGGCAGAATGTGACAAAGTTTGTGCCTCAAGTTTAACTTTGAAAGCTGCCTATAATTTTATGATTTCACCCAAAATAGAAAAACCTAATGCAAGTTTTTGTTTTTCATCTTGTCGAAGATACTTGCCTTGTATCTCCCTTATGTATCAAGTGCATCTTTAACTGAAAGAATCTCTTCAAGATGGACAATGATATTTGCCACAATGTTATCTTAATTAATGCACTTAAGATGTTATTTTGTTTGCCATTGAATTGTGTCCAAATTTTAAAAACTGGTATTAGAAAACCCTGATATTTTCCTATTTTGTGCTCCCTAAGAGCAAACATGATTTTTTATTTTCTGTTTCTTTATTCTGTACCTAGAACCATAAAAATATTTTTTTTTATTTAAGGAGCTACATAATGAGCTGAGTTTTTAAAGTTCTAGATGCTTCTGTACTACTACTTACAATGCATTTATTTGAAAAAAACAGAATATTATCAACTAATCATAAAGTTGTAAGGTTTATTAGATGTGTGAGGTTAACAGGCTCGTAAACAACATAGCAGTATAGATTCATCATTGTCAGCTTTCTG